TTATGTTCTTATATGTATGAATTTGTATTATACAGTTACGTATTTATAAATTAAATATATATCATGCAATGTTTAAGAACTCAGTAGCATGAACTGTTATCTACTTTACAAATGCAATATAAAAATAAGCATGATTTGGAGCATAAAGCTAATAAAAATATGAGTATATGCATATATTACATATATTGCAGAGGTTCTGCAGTGAGGCTGATGGAGGGTTATTATAGTTCAAACTAAACTATAAAAAACATTTTTCATTACTTACAATAAAATAAACGTTAACTGAAATAAAATAAACAATTAAAAGCCCTTGTTTTATTTAAGCTGGCTGCCAAGGCAAAATTTTCATTTATGTTTAGATGAACTTGAAGTACTAAAATAAGTAAAACTAAATAAAATGAAAAACACAAAAACTTTAACTCAACAAAATGACTATAACTATAAATTACTATAACTGAAATTGTAAAATGAAGCCTGAAAATTAAAGTGAAAATATAAAAATAAAATCTAATTTAAAATATTAACAAAATTTGAATAGCCTATCAATGATACTAAAATAACACTGGGCTAATGGGTAGATTTTCTTGTTAACTTCTTGTGAAGTGATTATATCATCACCTATTCCTAACCAGTGTTATTTTAGTATTATTTATGTACTATTTTAGTATTTATTAATATTTTGAATGTTAATTTTTATATTTTATGCTTTTTTATTATTATTACTTTATAATTTTTATTTTATTTTTTATTTTAGATGTAGTAATTTTAGTACTTCAAAATAAACCTATTTTATTTCAGTTAGTTGCCAAGGTAACATATCTTATTAAGTTTTAATATTTTTTTTTTATTTCTATATAGCTTCAATTTATTCTTATTTCAATTTTCGTTTTAGCAATTTTAGTACTTCAAATTAAGCTTATTTTATTTCATTTAAATGCCAAGGCAAAATTTCATATTATGTTTTAAGTTTACGTTTTTCCATCTAATATTTATAGTTTTAATAGTTTAGTTTTAATTAATAACAGCACTGTTCCCAGTGCCCTTGCCGTGACCTCAGGACCGCGCAGCACTACAGTAGTACAGATTGCGAGGTGGGTTTGAACCGGTCTGCGGGGTTTGTGTTTTCCTGCTGTGTGGAGGCTAATTGGCTCCGCCCCCTGAGCAGATGTTAACACCGCACCCCCTCTGACCTCTCACACCTGTTTCAATTAGACGCCGTCACCTCGTACCCGTGCCCGCCGAGCTGAGACTGACACACACACACACACACACAGTTACAGACACAACAAGTGATGAATTGAAGAAGTTTAACAACAAAATACTGCTCTATCACACAAAGCTACACATAATTTCCAAAAGCAAAGTTTCTTCAAGTGTGTGTGTGTGTGTGTGTGAGTGTATATGTGCGTGTTAAGTATCCAAATATTCAGACGTGTGCAGCACATTTTATGGAGGACTGTTTCCTGATCCTGGAAGACTACAATGTTCTGACTCACAGACTGTAAGTACGCTTTTTATATTAAATAATTTGCCACTGACGATTCAAACGCGAGTTTGGAGCAGTGTAGAGTAGCGCTTGTTGTTTGTCATTTCTCCCATCACAAATGCAGACATGGTTTTGTTT